GAGGAGATACACCCATCCTTAAGCCATTTCTTCCAAACAGGGAAAGTTCAGTGACATCAAAGAAAAGCAGACAGATCAGAAATACCAAATTCAAAGAGGAACCAAGATAATCTCTCCTGGATGATCTGGGCAGACTCAGCATGACATGAGAGGAAGAAGTCCACAATAGATTGTACAATTTGGGCAGAACCTTCTAAAAACAGATCTCTCTGCAAAATAGCTACCAAGATCTTGGCTGACGATCAGTCAAAAAAGATCCACTACTAACCAAGTAATCATCACACTAGCAGGCATCACTTACCTGTTGCCGTCATTGCTAATACCTGTTTATTGCCAGAATAAGCCTCTGAAGTGTTGGAATTCTCTGTAGATATCTGAAAGAACAAGAAAGAACAAGAAACTATGGTTGAAAACTTTCAGAAATGGCTGAGTTCCTCCTTTGCAAAGAATACAAGTCAGAAAAAAATCATGTGGGACTAAAGCTGCTAAATATATTGAATGCTGCTCTTTTCAAAGGACATCAACCCAAAATGACAGTGGTGCTGAAAAGGGATATCACCAGGAGACATAAATGCTGCATAAATAGTATCTGTTTGCAGCATTTGGTGCAATTCACTGGAAATAAAATGCTGCTTATATTTAAAAGAGAGTTTGTTCAAGCAAAGCCCTTCCTCTCCTGGGATGAAATGCATTATAGTCTGCTCTTTTATGGCTTAGCTGAATTGAATGTGTGTGTGAAAATCAGCTAAACCATCAGTTGTGGTAATGCAGAAATGACTAATTAGAAAAATACACTGGCACTTAACTGTGGAAAGAATTATATAATATTCTGTCACTGATTATTATGGTAAGTACGGTACAGAGAAATTCTGTTCTAAAATTTACAGTGCCAACCATAGGTGCATTGCATCCATGGATCAACAGATAATTTTGATCAATAGGTGAAGTCAAATTATTATCCCTTAAGATCCGTCCAACTACAGGGAGAATTTATCTTATAAGTTAACTTATACCTTATGACTTATACCTTAGTAGTATAAGAAAATCTGAGAAATAACACTTGAGAGCTGTTTTTCATTTTACAGTTTTTGCCATTTATCTTGTTCCACTAAAATGAAATTTGCAAATAATTTCAGTGTCTCCTCTTTTCAACTTTACAGCCAAACTATGGGATAAATTGACCTCAGGAATAAGATTGGTTTTAAAATTTCTCTTTTCATCCATTCCCGCTGCGCACATTCATCCCCACATCTTTAATGCATTTTGCCATTGCCGAAATCATGCTGATTTGGTTTGTTTGGCTGTGCAGAGACATCAATAGGATCCTGCTGGCATATAAAGTTTCTTGCACAAAAATAAATAAATAAATAAATAAAAGAATGGGTAAGAATAAGGGCAAACAGGTAGGAAGATCTTGCAACTTAGAGAGATTTTTAATCTGTTTTGTAACATGCTTTTAGTACTGTTGATGAGTAAGAGCAAACTGAAGAAAAAGGGAAACTGAAGATCAAGGGCTGTGAACTTTTAAACTAGTCTTCATCGAACCTGCCTTTCCTGCAGCAATAAACAAATAAGCAAGCAAGTAAAAATCTTGCACCAAATATTTATCTACAATTGATTTTCTTGATCCTGAAAAGCACAAGTCACAGTTTGACTAAGTGCAGCAGTGTCTATAGAAATGAAGACCCATGCAACCCACCTCAATATAAATCAGCTTAGGCTGCCAACAAACAAAAAAAGAGTGTTTGTTGACAGCCTAAACTGATATATACTAAATATACACAGAATTTGAACTTAATCAGTTACGGCTGATGTGCTGAGCTTTGAGAAGATCTGCTGCTCCCTTTGCTTGTGCTGCTGATGGAAAATCACTTGCCATTATGGCACGTGTTCTCAACTGCACACAAACTGCACATATAACAGTCAAATGAGAAGCAAACACATTTTGGATTTATAACTATTTTTCCCTAGCAATATCACGCCAATTGACATATCAATAGATTTGTATTAACAACTTAAATTACATTACGTGCACATAAGTAGTGTATTGTTACCATAGTTTTAAAGTTACTGCTGTTGTAACATTCAGGTATCTGCATCTTCATCACTCTTCAAAATGATACCAGCCCAGCTTCTGGCAAACTGTTCCAAATGAGAGCAAAGTAACACCAACCTTGTGTATCTCTTCTCATGACTTACAGGTAAAAATTATAGCAAGTATGCCCATGCTACCTTGCTTTTCCCAGGCTATGAATTCTGCTTTTAGAAATCTTTTACTCTCTTGTTCTTAGGATATATCATTTCTGACAGTCGATGTTGTTTAAGAGACAGATTTAAAGTAATGTACACACTGGCAGCAATTGTGAGTTTTAATGCAGTACTTATACTACCCATAATTGAATCTCATCTCATTGGAAAGCTGCTTATTTTATTTTTACCCATTTGCGATTTGTGAGAGATACAATCCATTGGGAACTCACAGTCATGACAGGGGATGAAAATTTTGCTCTCAGTTTTAGATTTTCTTTTCACTTTTCACTGCAATAAGAATTTTTTTTTTTTAATCACATATTTGACAGAGACATGATCTATAATTCATATAACACCTCCATCTCATTTTTTCTAATTCTGGTTTTTTTCTCATAATTTCTGCTAAAGGATTTTTCTCCTGGGCTGTACAAAAAATGCATGAGCATAAGCATTGCTCCAATAGCAAGGGCAATTGAATGAACAGGACTTTCTGGTCCTGTTTTTGCTGTGAATGTCTTGGTTAACTATAGGCAAAGAAAAAAACTACACAGCGTGAACAATTAATAAGTACACAAAGTACACAAGTGTGTTTATTACATTTTTGCAAGCACTTTGTTCTACATTTCAAAAACGCCACCATCAAGCTGTTGGCACATTTATGTACAAAACAGATTAATTGTAATGCCTGCTACAAAGCATTCTTTGTGAAAATACAAACTCTAATACCAGAGAAGAGCCAAAAGCATTAACATCATTACATGAGTTTAAAAGACATAGTTTTAAAAATCAGCACAAACGTTTTAAGACACAAAACTGAAACACTACAATATAGAATCCAAAAGTAGAATCCAAAAGAGGTTCCTAATACTTTTTGCAGAACTGTAATACTGGTACTGCACATTATGAGAAAACTGTTGACCCTGTAGGACAGCCTAAGTGTAAAAAAAAAAAAAAAAAATTAAAAAAAAAAAGTTAAAAAAAAAAAGAAAACAAAACAAAAATTAAACCAAAACTCCAAATCAAAACCACAACCAAAAATCCCCAAAACAAGCGAAAGAAAAATAATCAATCAACTAATACTACCTAATGCATTATCATGCCACACAAATAACTATAGTAATACCCTCTACTTACTACAAGAATTGTTAAAAATTACTGATGATGCATGACTAGTAATAGTACAAAGAAGAGTTTTACTCAAGAAGTTTTATTAGAAATGCACTTACACTGAGAGAGAATTCACAATGGTCCAATAAGTGCACAAACTACCTAAGTTTTTAACACTGACAAAAATGTCTTGTCAGGCTACATCACTTTAAAAGACACTTTACAGCATTCTTGTAGCATTAGAAATAGGCAAAAAAAAAAATTAATTAATTAAAAAAAATCCATCAAATTTGGTCTGATAAAACTGACTTAGTTTAAGCAGGGTTTTTTGTTTGGTTGGTTGGTTGCTTGCTTTTGTTTTTGATACAGGAAATTCTTTCAAATTAAGATGACTTATCTTTCTGATAAAATTTTCCTATCAAAATAAATGTTCAAATATATTACTACACTTTCAAATAATAAGCTCTGTAGTGGTCTTTCACCCAACTTTAACGTAATACAGGTAAACCAATATGAGTAGGAAAGCTAGAAGCCAAGCTACAACATTTATGGAAGTCTCCTTTAATATATCTTGTACAGTTCAGACAGGTGCAATCCATTTAAATTTTTAAAGCAGGTAAAAAGACTTCTGATTCCTACGATCACTGTATTTTTGATATATTACTTTCATAAATGTAGCTAAGCAGTAATTTCTCACATCATCACATGAACAACTCCAATTTAGCATAACCATCATTGAATTAAAGAGAGATCATTCTGTAAAAAACTATGGATAACTATATCACTTAAGTAACAATTGTCTATATACCATAACTCTTTAACAAGTAACCGTGGTATTGAACTCCTTCGAAAGGCAAGTGTCCATGCATTGTTAGCACCACGGTCGGCATGCTCACAATACAAACAGGAATTATCACCCATGGAACTTGGAACAAGAGAATATTCTTTAAAAACATCAATAATAATACAATGTTAACAAAGATAAGAAGCACTTTTTTCTTTTTTTTTTTTTCTTTTTTCTTTTTTCTTTTTTTTTTTTTCCCTTTTTTTTTTTTTACCCACTATTACAAATTTAGAAATTGCACCTTTGATCGTTTAAAATGTTCTTAGGACCTTCGTTCAAGTTGACGAGGGTCCGTCTGGCAAGATTTCCAAATATAAAGGAAAGTCATCAGTGTTTTCTTTATATATTGTACATCATGTACAATGGTCCCTTTGAAGTATACCTGTAGTTAAAGTAGTTATTGAACTCAAAACTAAAAAGTATAAAAAGCTACCTTTTTTTCAAAAACATATAAGAAACAATGCAAAAGGTGTTATGCATAACACATACAAAGTGATTAAAAAAAGCAAACACATATTTGTATTTGACAATAGTTTAGTATCTTTCATCTAGCAGAACTAATTAGCTGAAAAGGATTCAGGAGAGGCTATATAGGAGCTCTGTGGTAGAGAACGATCACAAAAAGTAAAAACTAATTTAGAAACCAAGTGCTAGACAACCAAGAATTGCACATGGGTGATATGTAAGTCACCCAAACTATCTTTTGTGAGAAGCACTTTCAATTGTTTTTGAAATGGTTGGATGGCCTTGAGTTAAACGACAAAGCATTCATGTGTTAGAAAGTAAAACAAGGTTTCTTTTATGTGTAAGCGTTGAGCCGCTCTTTAGAGCGAGTGGAATGAATGTCATGAAGCTCTTGCTCCTCCTTTGACTTAATATCCTCATATTTTTGCATTCTGCAGGCATCTTTCACATAGGCCCAGTTGGCAGACAAGACCATGAGATAATGGACCTGTAAGAGAAGTAACATGGAGTTAAGCATCAACAGACCTAATCAAATTCATGTTCAAACTTCAGAAATTACAGGGCTGAGTTTGTTGTTAATTGTGTTACTCTTGAACACTTACTGGTCATCATTTAATACACAGGAAAAAGAAATCAAAGTAAATCAATCCAAAAGCTGGCACCATGAGTAGCATCCAGGTCTGGGATTACTAGAGAACAAATCTCTCAAATGAGAGATAATGATATCCAATTTCCACAATCTCCATTCAGATTAATTAAATGCCTTACCTTTTTTTTTTATTTTATTTGTTTATTTGTTTATTTATTTCTTCCCCCACTATAAAATTCTTGACAAAATTCGAAGAATGTGACTGGAAGTTCTAATCATTTTGTCATCTCAGACAATTAGACCATTGCTATTCTTTGGACAGTGTGATTTCAGTTGAAAGTGGCTGTCTAATTGCATTTCACACTTCCCTGACCCAAATAGCCTGAAGCCAATGGGGCCCTGTCAAGGCTTATTCAAATTGAAATAGGGCAGCTTCCTCAGTTTGCCTCGGGACGTTTCAATTACAGGCATATGCAAGATAGTGCAGGGTCTTTCCGTCGTCTATGAAACATTCTTGCTTAATTTTCTTCCGAAGAAGAAAGTACATTTTGACCTTTCAGATCTGTAGAATTTGGAACGGATTTTTTTGTTTGTTTGTTTTGTTTTTTCTTTCCTTCTGGGACATTCCAAGATCTCAGCAGGGTAGAAGTCTGAAGAACTTGCTTTTCTCCTCTTACCTGCATCTAACATCCTTCAAAAGAACACAATTCCATTTGGCTACAGGAACGAGCCTGCTTACGTATTTCCCTGACTCTTGTTTGACGTTTTCCTTCTCTGTAAGTTTTCCCTGCCATGAAATCCTGAGAGTATATGAGTTTTTCTATCCTCCAACACTAATTTACATACTTTTTGATTCCCGGAGTGCATTTCCTTTTGGAGACTAAACAGGCAGCTAATTAATTGAAAATAATAATAATAAAATCCATGCACAAACAAAATAATAATAATAATAAAAAATCCATGTACAAACCTGAGACCAAAAGAGAGATTAAAGTAATAGCTATGGAAAAAACATGACTTGTGACCACATGGTTTTGCAAATTCTAACAATTTTTTGCTTGTTTTTGCAATAAATGCTTACATTTCTCTACTACATATATGTTTTTAATCCAGATTAATGAAAAATAACTTACTCACTGATGGTCCTGACATGTATAAGCAAACTACTTTCTCTGGAAAATTTCACAACACTTATATCAACTAATTTGGGTCATGCAAGTGTATCTCCAGAAGTGATGAAGTGAAACATATCAGTGGAATGATCAAAATGTCATTTAAAAGAGGTGATTTTAACTATTTCAACTGTTCAATTGAAAACAACAACTTCATGGATAAAATAGTGTTATTACTGAGTGGTAAAAATACAAAATGCTTACTACTTCAGTCAGATGAACTACTCTGTTTTAAAGTAAATGTCTAATAAATGTTTTCAACCTGCAATGAATTCATAAGCTTTCTCCTTTGTAAAAGACTAATATTTTGATCACATTTTTCTGTTAAGAAGAACTAAATTTCACAAATGTTGAGTTTTGCTACTACTATGGATTTGTACAAAGACACTAGAGTAACTTCAACTTAGCATTGTTCTGATTCTTTTTGCACATATGAAGAAGGATGTTGATTCTCCAGTGACTTAAATTACCCCTATGCAACATTTTTGATACCCTAGCCCACTGTCAACACCTTCTGATTTGGAGCACAGGATCTTCCTTCGTACTGTATGCGGCATTTCGACAGAAAGTACAGAAAGTACAAAACCTCCTTTTTGTGGTTTAGCATCTAAGCATCAAACAGCTGGTCGGTCACACCCCCGAGATGGTTGGGGAGAGAAATGAAGGAAAAAAAAAAGAAAAAAAGAAACTCATATGATCAGATAAAGGCAGTTTAAAAAGAGAAAAGAAAAAAAAGAAAAAAAAAGAAAAGCTAAAAAAAGAAGAAAAGCTCAATCCCCCTGCCCACCTCCTCCAATGTTATTGTTTTACATGACACCATATGGGGTCAGCTGGTTCTGCCCCCTCCCAGTTCCTTGCATATCTCCAGTTCTCCACAGGCAGGCCAGTATGAGAAGCTGAAATGCCCTTGCCTTAGTACAACCACTGCTCTGCAACAATAGAATCACAAAAGTGATTCTAAGAGAGCAAACAAACAAACAAAAAAACAAAGTATGGCTGTAGAATTCAGTGACAAAATACTAGTTGCAATTGTGAAGCACACACCATCACTAAAAATTCTCAGAGGGAATGCATCAGTATCAAGTAATAGTCATTTCTCATTCTCTATACCAATTTTTATCAGGGTTTCAGTAGAGTATACATCAGTACAGGGAATACAGTACAGAATCCCCACTCTAAAAATATCTTGATATTTGGACAGACACTGCAGGCAAAAGGCAGAAAAGCAGGGCACTGTCTCACACACTTTTTATTCCTTGGAACATTCTCACTGGCAAAAAATTGAAAGTAATCTTTATTATAAAAGTAAAAATAAGTACAAAAGTATAAAAATATGTCCTAAAAGAGAAACTAAAATATTCACATATATGCGCAGAGCAAACAAATAGATGTAGTTCATAAGATAGCAGCATGGTAAGCCTGTGAATATCCAGAAAGGCATCGATCATAAATGGATATTGTTTGGGTCATAAGAAAGACACACAGATTCTTACACTTGTCTGAATATAGCAATAAAATGATAAAAATTCCTATTAGGTACCCAAAGGTGTATCTTATTCAAAGTAATCATGACACTCTACTTAGAAGGCAATCCAGCAATAAAATTTAAATTTACATATAGGTAGTAGTATTGAATTACAGAATTATATTATACCAATAGGCACACAAACTGAATAAGTAACAATCAGAACATATTAGTGATTTAAATGACCAAAATAGAATAGAATAAAATAGAATAAAATAAAATAAAATAAAATGGTGTTGGGCAGCTTACCATAGCAATGACTGCTGCTCCTGCTCCAGCGAGTGCCACAATGAACAAGTGGAATGTCATGTTTAGCTGCAAAAAGGGACAAAGGAAGGGATCTTTATGCATTTAATACTAAATGGAAACAGAACAAAAAGCCTAAATAATGCAGAACAAAAGACTGCAAACCTGGTACCAGTGTTCTACAAAACTGGTGATTACTAATACTTCTTACCAAAAGATTGAAATTACAACGTGACTTTGTTACAATACTCATATTAAGGACAAAATAAATAAATAAATGAAAACAAATATTTAAAAATGAACAGGACTCAAAAAATAGTTTACGTTTGCAGTGATACTCTCTATGATAGTCATTATGATACTACCTAACTAGCTCTTCAAAACTTTAGTTTCTCTAGTGGCAGAGAGAGCCTAAGAATTTGTTTCCCTCTGCCAACTGTAGCTTTTCATATACTCATTTGCAGATTTTCCTCCAAATTTTGCCAGTAAAATTTGTTTACAGTGATATAATATAAACAAATTTAAGTAATCCAAGCTATCTTCCCCACTCTATCCCAAACTAAATGACTGCATCTGTTTTTCAGATCAGTGATCTGGTTTACACTCACCATACTGACTGTACAGCAAAGGTTGCATTTTCTTAAATGCTTTTTGATATAAAGAAGGGTGATTGTGTAACTGCATTCTAGAAGATTTATGCAGAGTAAGACCATGTGATACACTTAATGAAGCACCCTCTGACTTCAGATTGATCAAGATTTTATTCTCTTATAGATTTAGATATGCATTTTGTTTGCCCTGTTTTCTACCTTTAACATTTAAAAACAGAACCAAAGATCTTAGTTGTACTGAAATTGTGGTCTTTGCCTGAGAAAAAAATAAAAAGAGGTGCATTTATCCTAACCCGCTGCAAAATTTGGTCTAATCCATTTGAAAACATTATTCTCCTGTCACAACAGCAACTGAGATCTTCAAACAGTAATTATATATATAGTCTTCTTCATTGTGCAGCAAGGTGCATTAGCATTCAAAAACACGTGCACCTTGTTTATTTCTTTACAAAAACAAAATACAATTATGCTTAAAAAAATAATGGCCAGAGAAGATGCAGTGGCTAAATGCAGTATTGGTAAAAAAGCAGGAGAAGTACTTGATTATTGTATTTTCCACTTTCCACACCATTTTATCACTCTAGCTAAAATCAGAACATAAAGAGTAAGAAGAAAAAACACACACACCAGTTACTCATGGATTTGACAAAATATCATCACATTTACTCACCTCATTCGAGTCGCACATCTTGATGAAACTTTCTGATGTGGTACAAACCTTCTTTTCCTCTCCAATTGTTACAATACCTAGAGCAGAAAAAATATTCACACTATTTAGTTCTCCTAGTCCATAGCAGTCTACTTCATGTGTGCCAGGAAAGCTAAGAAATACCAATTTTTGCCTCCTACATAGAAATCTAATTAATAACAAAATCATTTTTTCCTAATTTCAGTCCTCAAAAAAACCAAACACATCATCTTAGTAAAAATTCTACTAGGAAGCACATGGGCAATGATTTTTGTGCCATTAAAAAAAAAGTCTTTATTCTACATCTTAATCAGCACAGTAATTGAAACATTAGGAAATAATTTGCAACCAGTGTGTACACATATCATGCTGGATATTCATAAATATTCTCTACTCTCATGTTGAGAACTGTGCTGTATATTGTATTCAGATGTGTTGACCTGGTGGTACAAAGCTTATTCCAAAACTTATAACCAAGTATTACTCAAACACATATTTGATTGTAGTAATAGTTTCTATCAGCAAGAATAACCAGAATTTATGCTGCTTGCTTCAGCTAATGTTGAAGTCTAAACTAAATCAAAGACAGCTTGAAGAAAATCCCTATAAATCATTTATCATGAAAACCAGTAATGTTCTTTCTTATTAGAAACAAATAGTTTTAAAACAGAATTTATAGGAAACAGATATATTCACAGAATATACATTTTACATGCTAGTGCTGTATGCAGATTTTAAATAAAAATAAGAATAAAAAATAAGTATGAACAAAATAAATATGAGCAAAAGAAAAGCTAAGAGAAAGAAGAATGAATACTTTGGTGAGATCTGTACAGATAACTGTCTTTTCAACTCGCCTATCATGCTGGGGGGGGAATTTTTTTTTTTTTTTAAATAGATCACCCCTGAAAACAATAAGGTGAAGTATTTTGTTTCAGGTTAAGTTAAATATTCAATATATTCACTCCTATGCAGTGCAGCATTTTTTCTATCTTAAGACATCAATTAAAAACGTACCACATGTTTATATTTGGCTAAGGAGACAAAGGAATGAGACTCACAGAAGTTTCCAAGAGGAATAAGATTACCCAAGGCTCTGTAGGCTGAGAAACCACAGAGTGCAGAGTATCTAGTCTCAAATCAGTCTTATGAAAGAAAGGAATCAATATCAAATCCAAGAATTCTCAGACTTCTATAAAATTCCAAACCACTTTATGTCTAAATTCTCCACCCTTCAAAAAACAAAAATATTTCCACATTTTTTAAAACTCCACAGCTCATCCTGTAGCCCCAGATTCTTTCTCCAGAAGCCTCTTAGAAAGTTCCTATTTGTATTGCTCTTCACCTTCACCAGGCCTAATAATGCAGCAAATCTCTGATAAACTGCCTTGACTTGTAGGTAATAGCATAGAGACAGGTTTGGTTTTCTTTTTTGAAACATTGGTTGGAAACATTCAGATACTTGGAAACAAAGCAACATGATATTTTCTGTTGTGAAACCTTGCTGTATTTAGTGTTCCTCACTCACATACCATACTGACGAAGATCCAAGCAGAGATTGGTTCCATCCACTAAGGTGGCATTTCGGCAAATGGTCCACAGATTGAAGTACATGTAAACAGGCAGAGAAGTGAAGGCTGTAACTCCAAGCCAAGCCAACATAAAGATGTATGTCAGCATAATAAACTGTAGTAAAAGAGGGAAAAACAAGTAAGTCAGAATTTAACTGATACTCAAACGCAAGAAAAAGAGAATGAGAAGAGAGAGGGAGAGAGAGAAAGAGGATTTCTGATTGTTTTTGTCTCTTTCTTTGTTAGTATTATGGTTTTGGTCTCATTAGAAAAACAGAGCAGTTACACTTTCAGAAATGCAAGCTTACTCCACACATTTCTGTCACTCTTGGGTCTGTGATCATGCAAAGCATCCCACCTGAAGTACTGACAGTGCTGCACACTTTCAGAAGAATATTTCTACCTCTCCCCCATCGCCACTAATCTTTAGTTAAAACAAGAGGAAACACTGACCGGTTTTACTACTATTGTTCACAATAATACATATATAGTGTAATACTATATGCTGTGCTTGCTTTTGCTATTAAAATCCAGGTCTTAAAAAAAAAAAATAATCCGTAGCTACTGCAAAATTTCACTGGTACTGAATGAGACCATCTATCTGTCATTTTGTTATTACATTTAAAGAAACCTGAGATCAAAAGAAATACAAGGGAATTCATCACTGTGGACAAACTAGGGTGCTTACCTCTGTTAGCAAGGAATTAAACTACATGTTTTGTAACACATTTCCCAAAGGGTCAACACATTTCCTTTTTTAGCCCTGAGCCGTGAGAGTGTGGCATTTGTTACTTTGTATAGCAATACGCCTGTAGGAAGCATTGAACTCTATTTGCCTCCAGGGCTGGTAGTTATACTGGCACAAAGTATAAATGTAAAATAAATAAATAAATAAGCATTCCACCTCAGACAACTAGAAGACATTCATCAGTAAACTTTTCATTTTATGCCGTGGAAAGGATATGAAGATGCTACCCTGCTAAATGTGGAAGAAAGTCAACCTCTAAATGTTGAATCCAAACAGTCTCAAGATTTGATGGTTTCAGAAAGGTTGATGGATCTAAACACATTGCTGAAACAAAAAAATATTCAGCACACTGACATTTTTTGAGCTGCTTACCACAGCAAAAAAAAAAAAAAACAACCCAAAAACAAAACAAACAAAAAAAAAAAGTCCAACAACATGGAATCTGAGAATAAAAAATAAGACCCATTTTTGAAAGCAGAATAAGCTAGTCCACAGAGTGCTTAAAATTAAACTTTAAAGAGTAAATAAAGGGAAAATTTAATTTTCTAGTTATTCTAATGAAAGATCTCATATATGAGGTCATAAAGGAAAAAGCCTAATAAAATTACAATTTTTAGTTCTTGAAATCAAATAATATCAGATATAAAGGGTTGTAAACGGTACTGAAAATTGCTCCAGGCATAGCTTGTCCACATGTAAATGTTCAGGAAAAATAAGCCCAAGCAGAAACTAGTTTTGAATTTCAGGTGAGATAGTTTTATTACTTCGCTGGTATAGGATGGACATTCTCAAGCCATATTAAAGAGACTGTAATTTGATTTACCTTAACTTACTTCCAAATAATATTTAATAAAAGCCATTTTGCTTCTGAGCAAGTGTATTTACATAAGATTTAATGTAGCTTAATTAATCCAGTTTAAAATTTAAGTCAGATTGATTTTCCCGATTGTCCCTTGGTAGATGAGTCTTTCAGCAGTATTTTGAAAAGCTGGAGAATTTATAGCTCTAAAAATATTTATCAGAAGGATTCAAGAAACAATAAGGTAAAGTGGAACAATGAAGAGAAACATTTTTTCTTTGTTCCATCTTACAGTCTTAAAGCTGATGAGGCAACATCTGTTTGAACCTTGGGCATTTATTTACAAATAACTACTCAGAAAATTACTTGGAAATGTAGACTCACTTAAGGACTATGCATTCCCAATTAACATGCTATGTCTGATCCTCATTTATTATCATGCTAAAGAGTTACATGCAGAAACAACCAATAGGAAAGAATGTTCTCTGTGTGTTCTCGGAACAGCCTTAAAAGTCTCCCTTTACTATTTTATATTCTATAGATCACTGTTTTTTTGAAGCATGTTAAAGGAAGGACAGCTTCCTTAGTATATATCCTATGAGTGTGCCAAACACAGCTATATCTGCAGCCGTACTTTTTGAGCCTCCTTCCATACCTTATGAACTAATCAACATTTTAAACATTTAGCATAGTGCTCGGTGTAGTACTGTATAATAATATGACAGAGAGGACAGGGAGGAAAAAGATCAAAAGATCAGCCTTAGTATGAGCGTGACAATCTTTGTTTAGCATTTGTGAATTTTTTGATCTGTAGGAGGAGTGGATCTCTCTGTAGCATAGAACAGGAAGCCTGCTTAAAAATCTGTGCTGAGATAACACAAAGCATCGGCATAGCAAAGAGGAAAAAACAGAGCTCGTTAGCCTCTAATGAAAAAAAAAAAAACCCACAAAAAAAAAAGCCTGCCTCTGCCTGGGGCATAGAATAAGAGCAGCAGAATTCTGTCAGATGAAGGCTGGGAGTCATAGCAGCTATTAACTCAGAGAGAAACGTCCGCTTGTTTGTGGAAGGGATTCTCTTTTGAAGACATGATTACTTGTTTTAGTGGCGCAGAAAAAGGGAATCAAATGCTGATTTAATTTTAAGAAATAATTTAGAAAAAAGAAGAATTTCTTTTTTTTTTCCTGCCAGCTTTGACTGAGGAGCCAGTGGTCAATTATGTGCTCAAATTTTTGTCATAATACACTAAGCACAAGGAAAAGATAGATAAATTTCCTTCATCTCACAGAATAACTGAAATGCAAAAAAATCGTGTTAAATCATGGTAATTAACAGTTATCCCTGGAAGATGCCATCACTGACATCTGTGAGGCAAGCTTTGTAATCTGGACATGACAACAATTTCCACCCTAGGTGCAGTAAAAATGAAAAAGTTAACCTTGCTCAACAAATTATTAGTTTCTGGCAAAAGGAAATGTTACAAATTCCTTTTATAATGGGGTGAAAATGCAAACATGTTTGTTTGAAAACCATAGATGAAGGACTAAAGTATTTTTAAAAATAACTTCCTATGCTATGACAGTCTACCCTCTGCTGCAGACGGCTTGTAAGAAATGCTTAAGGAGCCTGTTCACTGCAGGAATTAAATTCAGAACTTAGTCTCCAGAGATTCAAAGGGATCATTCTGCTTTGAAGTAGCATTCTGCTATATGACAAGCCAAAGAGTTATGAAATAGCAGCACAACATCTTAAAGAGGTACCACAGTTTGTTCTTTACTACTCTGTGCATTGCACTGATAATGATGATGTGGTTCTCTAGTCATCTCAATTGTCTCTGTAAGAAGGCAAACATACAAAACAAAGTGGAAGTGATGGAGAAATTCATTTAACTAGATCATAGTTTCAAAACATATTTAATCTATGTAGCAGTTAAGTTCTTGCACCAAGTTCTTGCTCTGTGACTGGTAATACCTTCGTGCCAGATTTTACAAGCTTTTCATTGGCAACAAGGGCTGTCTTGAATCATGATGCATCAAAGTAATCAAGCCAGCAACCCTTTTGGAAGGCTTTTATGATAAAATCTGTTTCACAGATCAGCATCAGGAAGCAGAAATTTCACTGTACATTCTAAAATAACACATATATGGCAGAACAGCTTTTATGGCAGTCACAGCTGGGTAAAATCCTGTTTCCATTGAAAACATTACCAAACTCTATCTGTTTTAATAAGATCAAGATTTCAATTACTGCTTTCTTTTTAAAACATATGGATACTGGTCCCATGAAAAGCACTTTGATTGACTGTCTAATAATGTTCTTATTTTAGTTTTGTTATAAATATTTTAATACTCTTAAAACAACATTTTATGACTACTTCAGTCACCGTGGAGACAGACTGCAAAGTCATGTTTAAAAGTTCTGTTACTACAAAGAGACGAATTGAAATGGAAATAGTGAACTCCAACTGTTCCTCTAGTCATTTTATTACATGAAGAAATTTCTGCTACCTATTACATATATACAAATATAGCAGTAAAATCAGAAGTGCCTGAAAATATACTTAACTCTTAAAAAGCTCACGGTGCCATGTAATCTCATCTGTTTCAAAGCACTCATATTCTTGTTTTATATGAACTCCCTGACATAAGCTTTACCACAGAGTTATGAAAAGAAGTACACTTTGCACTGTTTATACCTAATTTACACTTATTATCTATAGTGACACATACTTGATATTTTTTATTTTCAGCTTGGCAATCTAAGGCATTTCTTCCAAACTTCTTCCCAGACTCAGAAATTATCATTGCAGTTTTTGATAGCAACTCAGAAGCATGAACAGGAAGATCTCAACTTCTTCCTAAAATGTTCTGTCTCTACAACACCACATTTGAATTTGACTACCTATAGATCTCATTTCAATGCTAATAGAACATCACAGTACAGATATCTTTAAACTCACTGACATATCAATGCTTAAGTGGCTGCAAATCATCCTTTGTCATCCTAGCCATCCTCATTTTCTCTTTTTACACCCAGTTTGAAATATAAATATAATTTAAAAAGGACATTTAAGTAGATCACAACCTAAGGGACTCCTCTTACATTCTCTGATCTGTTCTAACTAGCATCTCCTACGTTCATGCCTCATGCCCCACTCCTGGACAGAAGTACATGATGAAACATATATTTTTCAACCTCTCTTGTTTTACAAACAACACTGCAGGAAGAAAGAGTCTGATGTTCATACATTACTACTAAATTTGCTACAAATCAAAGAAAATACACACTTGTAAAGACTTTTCTGCTTGGTCTAGAATATTGCACTCACTACTCCTAGCACTAACTTGTTGGTCTTTATTATTGCCTCTACAAAACATGTTCATCCTCTCTCTCTCTGACATGTTATATGCCTAGGCACAGCTCCAAGACTCTTGTTGAAACATGGATACATTTCATGCTATGTTATTACTGTTCTGTGGTTAATTCTTCTTGGCTGGTATTAAAATCAACTGCTTCAAGAGAAAAAGAAAGCCAATAATATTACAATATTGGTCCAAATTTCTCTTAATAGCAGGACAGACTGTAACAGTCAAAATAACTTCTCAAGTTTGCCTAATTGCGATTCATTTACACACTACATACTAGCCAAGGAGACATTCTCTAGATTCTTAAAAACTGTTACCAGAGAATGATGAAATCCTTGAAATTTAAACTTTTGAAGCATTCTTTTCAAGGAACTGATTTTTTTTTTTTTTTTTAATTTTTTTTTTTTCTAACATTTAACTTTTATGGATAGTTTAAATGGATGAAAAACTCATCTTGTTAAAATTAAAAGCAATGATCATCATTACTGTTCTCATTTAAATGTATATTTTTCTAAAATTCCTTTAGATGTGCCTTTCAAGGCTGATATTCTATATGTGATATCTGACAAACTGAAATATAATTAGCAGCCTATAAAACAACTGTTTAACTTTCTGATTTACTATGAAATTAATTTATTGGCAGCGGTAGGGGAGAAGATTTTCACAGCTGCATTACAAATACATTATAAAGATTAATTAATCAATATTTTGAAATTAAATAGAAAAAATTTTAAAAAAGAAAAATTGATATTTTGAAATCCACTAGCTATGAGCCACTCAGTTTGAAGAATACATCTTTATAATGACAGATGAATAGGTTTTCCCTGAAGATTTGGAAGTTTATCTGATACTTTCTTGTAAACCAACCATATCCCACATCTTGTTTCTGAATTTTCTTTATGATGTTGGTGGTTTTGTAGCATTAGGCTGCATAACACCTTTGACGCTCAGTATTCCACATGTTTTTTAGGCAAGACAAAAGTCTTTAAATCTTATCTGGTATTTAACACCAACAGAATTTTTCATCTAATTTTAAAATCTTCCAGATAGGATTTTTAAAAATTTATTTATTTTTTCTAACAAGCTGGTGTTTTCAAAATGTCTCTTTCTCATTGACCATTTGAAATTCGGCAGTTCTTTGCCTCAAAATGCATATACTTACTCTCAAACCTTTCCTCCTCCCTTTCTATCTCTTTTCAGTGATGTTTGCGAAACACAAACTTGAGTCTGAATCAAGAGATATGGATTTTCAGTGAAAGCCAGTGATTTGGCTATTAATCTTATGGTAGATTCTAAACATGTGACCATCCAGACTTCTGAGAAGTATTACCTTTCTGAAACTGCAGAAACTATGGTCAACTGGCCAAACTGCTAAGATTTCTTTGCTAGCTTCTAGGTCATTTGAAACAACAATTAATTATTCTAAGAACTATGCAATCTGAAAGGTCAGAGCACCATATGAAGCTCATCTTGATTACTTTTCTTGTCAGTAGATAAACTGTTTAAGGAATTCACCATTTAGCATATATCAGGATAGGAATTTTGTTAAATGCTTTCTGTATGGAGCATTGGATTAAGGCAGTTTAGACTCATAAATACATCTTTCTCTCTGTTCCTTGTTTCACACAAAGAATCAAATGTCATTATGATGCAGCTTTGCTGTCTCTGAAATAACTGCTTCAGTAAGGACAAGCTGAAATGACAAGTTCACACCCCTCAGATGTATTTCTTCAAGGCATTTGTGAAGCTTTCATGATTTTCCTTGCAAAATAATAATAATAATAATAATAATAATATAATAATAATAATAATAAATTGGTAAATGCTTTGGACATTTCAAGTTTTACTTTAAGAACTTGAGAATCATGAGTAAGATAGAACATAGGCATTCAGGTAACTAATACAATTTTCAAAGGCAGAAAAATCCCTTTCACTCATTAAAATACAAGGTTCCTTAGCACTAAACATACAGAAGATAATGTTAGTGACTTAAACTATTTGCAGCCAAAGTGCTAAGATTACACATTGACTTTTGATTGGAACAACCAATATAAAAAAGATGAAAAAGTAGCATTACTGTGGAGCATGTTACATCTGCGTAGGAATTACAATATATTCTGTGTTTCCTAATTTCTAGTGTGTAGATAACCTGTGTACACGTTTACTATTAAGTGTCAGGATTTTCAAAGTATTCATTTTAATAGCTATTAGTATGACAGGGAGATGAGACAAGCCTATACTTGTTCCTAATCTGTATTCTAATTTAATAAATGTCCAGACCTCTCACCTGACATCCAGAAGAGTCAAATAACAAAATATGTAGTTATTTAATTGGTTTGGAACAGGCCTGCCCACCAACCTTAAAATAATCCCAGCCCCAAAAAGTCAGCAATTTCACTATGAGAAACCTCTGATTAAGTCCCTGTAAATAAATCAGATTTCTCTTAATCTGTCTTTTCCAGGGTAATAAGTGAATTGGCTCTTCAAACCAGAGATAATGTAGGAATAAATAATGGACTGCTTCTTGTTCAAAAATGAAACAAAACAAAACCTGATGAGAGAAGTCAGCTTGTCCCAAACTGGAATGGGTAAGATTTCTAAGTGCCTGTGAAAATAGTAAGAAAAGTATTTATTGCCTAGTGCAGCTGAAGGCATTATAATCTTTTGGCCTTTTTGGTCAAAGAGCTTATTTTGCTGAGAGAATAAGCTTTCCCACTCAGATGGTAGAATTAATTTCTTCCTAGTTATTTTACAATTAACTGACATGGAGAGCATTTCAAACAGCCTATTATACTTTGCTAGGATTTTTAATCACTGAAATATCAGAAAATATTAAAGAAAAAAGTAATAAAAACATCACAATGCATTACAAACACACAAATTGTATTAAAACTACAAAATCTTATCCACTTACCCAGGCACTGACACATCTGCCACAAGTGGTGATTTTGAAATCTCCATAGAGATCTTTGATGGCACCAGTTGTAAAGAATCCCTCCACCATCAGCAAAATGCCATATACAAAGAATGCAGCTGCTACACCATATATCACATACTTGAAGATGTCAATCCTGTAGAGGAAGAGCAAAAGTTACTTATCCTCATAACTATTTAAAGCTGACTCTGAAATTTCATGGTGAGATAATTAGATTCAGCATCAAAGTTTCAACTCTGGAGTCAGCTTAAGTGTTGATAACACTATACCAGCTGAAGCTGAGTACAAGAGTGAACTTCTGAATAAAACATCAATATAAAAATATTGGCTCATTTAATTGAAAGAAATACTAAACATTGAATCGTGCAGGTAAGAGAGCTCAATTTGTCAGAAAAATTTGAAAATCACATCTAATTCATTTCATTTTTCATCTAGATAAAGTGGCAAAGAAAAAAGCAGAAAAAGGTTACATATCCCCTGAGTAACACATTGCACCTAACACTGAGGTTTCACTTCATTAGTGATGATGTATTTTGTTATAATCTTCAATAAATCTACATATGCAAGTAGTTCTCAAGTTGCAATATCAGTCACTGTTATCATCTCCTCACTATTATTTTTCTGCTTATTCCTCAATGATCAAACTGTCTGACACAAAATAGCAAGATCTTCAGAAGAGATCTTTAACTTCAAACCAGAAAGATATGCTTCTCAAACAAAAGCATCAAAGACAGATCATCCAGAGATTTTCTATAGTGGAGTTTAAAGACATCATTTTATAAACCCAAAAGTCAAGAAATCAAACGATAGTTTGCAGTGTAACATGCAGACCCCGTAAGACTGAAGTGATTAAAAAGATTTAATGGGCTGTGCTGTGGTTGGCCTGCCCAGCACTCTCTGCAAACAAATAGTGCTGGCAAGGAGATACCGCCTCCTAAATGTTCTCATGAGAAAGGTTTCTGAAGAGATGCTCAGAAGGATTTCTCTGCCCTAAGTTTCTTTCCAAGCGTAGGCTTCTCATGATCATTACCTTGAATCATCAAGTTTCATTGTCTTATACTTGGACCTCTGAAAAACTAACCACAGTGAGCTTTCAATTCATTGATGTAATTTGGCAGGTTGTGTGACTTTTTAGAAGGTTATGTATAGGTTTCAGGTGTTAGTAAGTTCCAGTCAGTTAGTAAGTCCAGGTCAAGATAAAACAGCTCATTAGGGAGTAGGATGAAAAATAAATCAGGGTGCCACGAGGAGCTACAAGATGAATTTTGACACGCACTGAACAGCTATCCACACTGAAAATCTCTCAAGACACCAATATTGATACCTCTATTATTATGAAAAGAAACATCTAATAACATTTCTTTGGGTTCACACTTTTAATTGTCACCCAAAAATGAACTCTCAATTCACAGTTGACAATAACAAGGCTCAACAGCCCATTAACTTATCTTTGAATTTGAATGGTTTTCAAGAAACTCAAAGTCAGATTCAAGTCTACAGCTGATGTTTAAGATGTACCAGTGTGTCAACAGCAGCGCTGATTTTATTTTAAGCTTGCATTATTCTCATAAAAATTCAGCTAAACTTATGACCTAGCTGAGAGGGTGAGGGATGGAATGTGTACTAAATTAATGCAATAAGCTCGTTGCAGCATTTTTTGCAGGGCAATGACGGAAGTGTCCTGGGAATGAAAATGAATATACTTTCTCTCTTACATCCAAAAAACAAAGTCTTCTTTGTTTCCTTTCACATCATCCTTTATTTCACAGCCAAGTGAAAAATAATGCAAGTGGAAACTTGTGTGGAAGAGATACATAAACTGTTCACAATGGTAAAATAAATCTAGCACTGTAGACAATGTTAGGTAGTGCAAAGATGACATTTATTTTAATAGATATAATTACTGATTATCCTGTAAAAATACCATCTTCCTAATTTTGTAGTAATTCACTCAGTGTAACACTGTTTTAACAGGAAAATGATCTTTTGAGCCTATCTTGCCGTTAGTGATGAAAATAAATGTATTGTAGGCAACAGACAACTTTGTGATCATGCCATTGGATACACTGCCCCTCCTACATTATATACCTTATAAAGGAGAACCTCTGCCAGCGGCTGAAGTGTGGGAGTTATGCCAGCAGCAGCTCCTCACAGACCTCAGTGTGCTCGGTGCTGTAGAAATTAGAAGCTATCATTGCCCCGAAGGGATTAAGGCTTTTGGAAAGTCCAGAGACTATTTCAGCCCTTGCAACAGCTCTTTAAACCATCTGTGCTGAGCCTCCCACTGAGCTGCTCATATCAAGTAGGGTACCAACATACCTTTGTTTTTTCCTCAGCCTTATGTGTAACCATAGGAATAGCTTTCATTACTCTTTTAACAAGGAAAATACGAAGAGATAAACAGTAACCAAATATATAATATATATTCATATAATATATATACTAACCAAATATATATTCCTCATACGCTCCCATCACACACTCAGAAAATAAAAAAATTTCTGCTGGACAGACTACATGAAATGAAATAGCCAGACTCAATGCAAGGAGATGGATCTTGCATAATGCAGAGAGTAAGAAGTAAAAATAGTGCAACAATGATTTCACTGCCTTTTAGGATATCAGAGAAAATTGTATTGCAATATATCTACTAGGTATGGTATATTTAAACAAGATATATTACAACTGTTGCCCTTTAATCACACATAGTTTAGAAGATATTACTGGCATATTCTACAGCACTTATAAATTTCACATAAACTTTGATCTTCCAATGAAATTATAATAGATAATAAAATATAGGCCTTGTAAAACAGAGATTGACATCCTCTAAAAATAAAATTTAATTCTTCGTGAATGAACTCAGAGAGATCAATTGCCATCTGTGTTTCAGTAAAGTCTCAAATGCTGCAGACAGAGCATCAGAGCAGCCAGGGAGGTAACAGTGAATAGCAGAAGGAGCAATGAACAGGAGCCAATGGGCAAGGGGGACAAGGGCACAGCAGAAGGACAAACAGGGCTCACACTTGTGCAGGCTGGAGTGGGTGGAAAGAGATGCCTAAGCAGCTAAGGAAGCAGAAACAAAATTAAAGAGGTAAAGTCTGTACCTCTGATGGGACTGGAAAGATACACATTAGGTGAATGCTGAGGCTACTCCAAATGAAAGGAACAATAAGAAATCTCAAATAGTTATTCACTAAATGCAGGAGTCCTAAGGATATTACATAACGATACATTCACAGCCATGAAACATTTCTGCTAAAAGACAGCGAGTCAAGATTACAAATTCAAACTGATAGTGCTGTCTTCACAGATTAATGTAGGTTGCTGGATCGAATAAGCTGTTGAATTATGTAAACATAACTTAATAATGAAAAGCATCCTGAAATTAGAAATTTTCTTTTTTCTTATTGTTACTTTTATTTTTAACAGAATAATCTAAAATGTACTTCACGTATTATCTGTGTCTGGAAGAGGCTGTTGTAGGGTCCAGACTTGATTTACTCATTACACTGTGTTCTGAAATACTAACAAACACAAACATGTCATCTTTTAATTTGTAATTTAAATCAAGTTGATCTTTTACTTACTTGTCTACTGCTGGGACAATAATCATTCCATATTAAGCATACTTTCTAATTCATTAATCTGAATCTGGATTCTATCCAACCATATGAATGTTAAAATAGCTGTAGTGAAAACACTTTCTTTCACTAGCTGAAGCTGCTGATGGAAGCCATCAGTGCTAACATCTTAACAGGCTGTAGCTGAGTATAGAGTAGACAATCCCAGCAGACAAGTCAGAGGTGAGTGAAAATATTCGTATTGAGTGAGATAAAAGTTGTAGATTCCCTGCTGTGCATTTTTGTGGTGTTTTGCAAATACAAGGATAGAAAAAAATCAACAAGCAATAAGATTAATTGCTGGATGATCATGTCTATTCATAGCACAATTTGGGGAAGAGAGTTTTAATAAAACAGCTAGTAATATTCTTTGAAACTCCTTCAGACAACTGGACTGGTAACTATTGTATCCTATTTTGAATGTACTTCAATATTCAAAATTAGCTCCTGTTAAATACTGTGTCTTTAAGTAACAATACTTTGGGCTTGAAGAACTTGTTGCTTCATTGCATTTAATCAGTATTGCTCTGTGATAACAACTGTATTTACTACACACAAACAGATAAACCAAAAAGAACTTTGACCTTTTATCTCTTCCAAAAAGGAATTACAAATTGTAGGAACTCTGAGGCATTTTAACTGTACTAGTTTAATCACAGTAACCTTTCTACCCTCAATGATGAAGATTGACATTTACCTAGGACATACCAACATATACATTTATACCAAAATTAATTAATATTCTTTTGGAACAATCAGCATATTATCTAGGGATATTTTTATTTAACTCCATTAAAATATGACTGCATTACAGACAATTATTTGCAATTAGTAGCAACAGCAACTACAATAATAAGAACAAACAATTTTTTCTCTGTGACATGTGATTGTCATATTTCCCAGAAACCTTTATATCTAAATATGTTCATTTCATGCTGAACATATCACAGAGGTTTGGGTTGGTCTGATCCACCATGATACCAGGTATTTACGTGGAAGCAGTTTTTCAGGCTTTATATTTCTACTTCACACTTCTCTTCCTGAATTTATAACATAACTTCTCCAAATGCAGATAATGTATTTGGATACTACAGGTGTTGAATAGCACATAATTGCCATCAGCCCATACCCATATTCTCAGTGTGCAATTAAATTCAGGCAATTATACCTATACCCAAGAGTAAAAATAATAATACTATAAGTAAAAGATAAATTCAAAGATAAATACATCATCAAATACAAAGCTAGTTAGATTATCACAGTAAAATTTCTCATTTACAATTATAATTTCTTTATAACTGGCATAGAATAATGAACGTAATCATCTCCATTGGTTAAGATCAGCTTTGCTGTTTTGTTTTTCTCTTCATATTTTGTTTTCTCATCACAAGGAAATAATCAATGCTGAATGCCTTTGTGATGATTCTTTCACCCCCTGAGAGACAGGTCCTCAGAGGTTGCTAAGAGACTGAGAAAGCTTTCTGCTCTCTCAATCTATCTCAAGATTTCAGTT